CCTTCCTTCCTTCCTTCCTTCCTTCCTTCCTTCCTTCCTTCCTTCCTTCCTTCCTTCTTTCCTTCCTTGGTGATGCAGTGGTTAGAATGCAGCATTGCAGCCTAGCTCTGCCGACTGCCAAGAGTTCAAACCTGACCGGCTCAAAGTCCACTCAGCCTTCCATCCTTCCAAGGTGGGTAAAATGAGGACCCAGATTGTTGGGGGGCAAGAGGCTGACTCTGTCAACTGCTTAGAGAGGGCTGTAAAAGCACTGTGAAGCGGTGTATAAGTCTAAGGGCTACTGCTATTGCCCTTCCTTCCTTCCTTCCTTCCTTCCTTCCCTTCCTTCCTTCCTTGGTGTGCGGTGGTAAGCATGCAGTATTGCAGTTCAATTATGACCAGCTCAAGGTTGACTCATCCTTCTGAGGTGGGTAAAATAAGGACCCAGAATGGCTGACTTTGCAAACCGCTTAGAGAGGGCTGTAAAAGCACTGTGAAGCGGTGTATAAGTCTAAGGGCTACTGCTATTGCCCTTCCTTCCTTCCTTCCTTCCTTCCTTCCTTCCTTCCTTCCTTCCTTCCCTTCCCTTCCCTTCCCTTCCCTTCCTTCCTTCCTTGGTGTGCGGTGGTAAGCATGCAGTATTGCAGTTCAATTATGACCAGCTCAAGGTTGACTCATCCTTCCGAGGTGGGTAAAACAAGGACCCAGAATGGCTGACTTTGCAAACCGCTTAGAGAGTGCTGTAAAAGGACTGTGAAGTGGTATATAAGTCTACGTGCTATTGCAGCCATAACTCGAGGACTTCCTATATCGAAATTAGTACCCACCCACCCCTCCCCATCCTCAAATATCACCCCTTCCCCCGGATTTATTTCAAAACGCAGAACATCCCACTGGTGCCTTTGACCCACGCTGCACAAGCAGGAGACAGCTTCCAGCTTTTTTTATTTTTATTATTATTACTATTATTCTCTTTTTAAGAACCCCTGAGGCGAGGAGGGGGGAGGAAAAAAAAGAGAGATTTGGCAGTATAACAACACAGGAACAGCAGCTCCTCTATGCCAGGCGGAGTAGAGCTCATGAGCTGAAAGGGACGCCGGTATAAATAAGTGGAGTGTTTTCCGGTGAAGTTTTTAAGAAGGTTAATTTTAAAAAAACGACAACAGCCTCTCGCAGCAAAAAAAGCTCATCCTGCAGTAAGCAGCAGCACTGTGGTTCAAACCGTTGTGTGTGTGTGTGTGTGTGTGTGAAAGTCACTGCTGTTGTCATCACGACTCTTGTGTCTTCCCCACTCTCCCGGCAGATGGCTTCCATCTCGGCCGTGAGCAGAAGGCGTCCCCTACGCTCGCTGCAAATTCCTGGGATAATCTTCCCATTCCCGTTGGGAGACGCCGGCGCCAAACTCGATGAGATCCGGTGGGCTGAAGAATGCCAGACTCCTCTCCTCCTCCTCCTTTCAACCCAGATTCGTTCAAACGGGTTCCTTTCCCCCCTTCCCCGCCTTCTCCCTTCCCCGGGTCCCGAAGCCGCTGTCCAAAGTTTCTTGCAGACGCCAAGAGGCAGATGGCACCAGAGGGGGTCCCCGTCTGTCCATCCGCAGATGCCCATCGCTTGAGGGGACGGACCTTGGTTTTTCACACCGAGAAATGGGATGGGGAGAGGCGCCCCAGGAAGTTGGCAATGGGAGGGGGGGGTCTTTAGAGCCGCGGTCTTGTTACGCTGCTAGTTGGCTGTCTTCGGAGTCGCCGCGGATAGGTTTGCGTAGCCGGATCTCTTGCTCCTGCTGAAGATAAAAGAGGGGAAACAATTTATTTGATTGGGCTTTTGAAGTGTCCCCTCATGGTTTGGTGTCTTTGACACATACAAATCTGAGGACTGCAGATTGATTGATTTGTATCTCGCCTTTATTACTTTTTACAAATAACTCAAGGTAGTGGATATTTCCAATCCACCTTCCTCTTCCTTTTCTCCCCATAACACCGACCCTGTGAGGTTGGTTCGGCTGAGAGACAGAGAATGGTCCAAAGTCACCCAGCTGGCTTTCATGGCCAAGGCAGGATTAGAACTCCCCATCTTCCGGTGATTGGCCGTAAGTCACCCAGCCGACTTTTGTAATTAAAGTGGGACTAAAGGGAAAGGTTCCCCTCGCATATATGTGCTCGTCGTTCCCGACTCTAGGGGGCGATGCTCATCTCCNGGGGAAAGAGAGATTAACCTAACTGTTGTGTGCCAAAACCTGTTATCGCTTCGACGGGGCTAAAAATAGGGCAGCTGAAACAGTTTTAATGAGCTTGAAATGCTGACCGTTAAATTGGGGGGAAAAAGAGAAGAAATTGAGCAGGAAGAGGATTTGAAAAGAGCATCCAGGAAAATAGCAAACTTGTCGTGCTGCTGCTTGGATGTTTACGATTGGCATAGATTTAGCTCGATCTAAAAAGCTCAGGATCCAGTTTTTGGCAGGGATCCAATAAATTTGACTCTTGTTCTAAATCACAATCCTTGGCAGGTTCTTTCCAGCTGGCCTGGGACCACGCTAAATTCTCTTGGCAAGGAGGGAAAAAAAAAACCACGCCGATGTTGATCTTCATAAAAGCATCTCGGTTTATTAATGCTTCATGTGGACTAGAAACACGTGCCCCAAGATTTTTTTTTAACCTTGGATTTTCAGCCCAATGCAGAACCTTTTGCCTTAAAAAGACTTGATTGCTTCTGCAGAACGCCCAAACTCGTTTTTCTCCAACGACCAATTTGAACGGGGGGGGGGAGGGGGGTTAGAAAAGTGGGGGGGGCTAACAGCAGCTAGAATTGTATTTGCACAATAATTGGAAAGCAGACAAAATCCCATCGGAAAGGGAGGCAACAAAGAAGATATTAGACTGCAGAAATGAATAGGTTGACATTGAGAATAAAGGACAAAGAGGAATCAGTGTATTACAGGATATGGGGGCGATTTTATGAGTGGCTGGAAACAAAAGAGAAAGAGAAAGAGAAAGGAAGAAAAGATGAAATAAGTATCTCAGATGACATATGATTAATATAGGGGGAGAGGAAATAAGAAAAGATCAAAATGTAAATATACAGGCGGAAAAATGATATGAATTGACATGTTAAATAACAATTATAAGAATGTATATCTAACAACGAATTAGAAAGGAAAAATAAAAAAAACTTTTTACAAAAAAAAGGGGTATTCAGGATTCAAAGTTTAGCAACCAGTTCTCTGCCTGGTTGCTGGGTGGGCGTAGCCCACTCAGCCTCCTGCCCCATGGCGGAAGGGGGTGTTTTTGCCCTCCCCAGGCTCTGGAGGCTTTCCTTGAGTTTCCGGGAGGGCGAAAATGGCCTCCTCTGGGCTCCGGAGGCTGGAAACGGGCCCGTTTCCAGACTTCTGGGAGGCCCGTTTTTTGCCCTCCCGGAGTCTCTGTGCGGGCCACAGGTTTGGGCAAACCACATGTAAAAAAATTAGCGTCCGTTTTGGCCGAAGACCGGTCCGAATCGGCTGAATCCCACCCCTGGGTTTGCTGCTCCTTCCGAGAAGTGCAATTGAAGACGTGAGCAGGCTTATTTATATATTTCCCAGCCTTCGTGTGAGAGGCTATTTGCAAGTCTCAACCGATCCATCTGTTTCTCGGAGGAGGAAGAAAAAAGAAAGTCTCATTTGAATTGCATCTCTAGGAACGGGTTGCCTACACTGTGCTGGG